ACACACACACACACACACACACACACACACACACACACACACACACAGTCACATAAATAGCCGTGCTCAGAGCGGACTCAACAGTGCATTCAGACCATATTAGAGCAAGTTAAATCATTTATGATGAGCTCACAGTTAATAGTTAAAGTAGACAGAGCCGGGACTACACGCTCACAGCCAAAACAAACTACATACCCAACATTCCCCTCACCTGACATCAGCCAGGGCTCGGGCCCGCGGGCCATCTCCATGGCAACTCATTTGTCTTCATTAGGGCTCATCCGATGGGTTGTGTTGCTCCCCGAGGGGATTAATGAAGTTGAATTAAATGGAGTTCTCAGATGGTCACTGATGATGAGTTTAAATCATGTTCAGAGAGAAACAAGAAGAGTAACCTAATAAAACAGCATGGAGGATGTTAAAGGTGGTTAACAGGTGTACTTCTCTTTGAAAAATAGTTTGGGAAATATGCTTTATTGCTGTGTCGAGAGTCTCTATCTCTGTTGAAGTGGCTATCATCAATATGTTTGTATTTAGGACGGATCGCATGACTACTTGTATGTGAAAGGTAGGACTAACCCACGGATAATTAGCATCCGGCTTTGCAGTTCCCCCTCATCAATGCTGCATGTTTCAGCATCTTTCAGGTCACAAATGTTTCGCTTCATCAGCGTAGTTTCCGGCCACAGCAGACAGCTGTTTTCTGTGTCATACATCCAAAAACCCAGTGTACGCTATACCTGCTCAGGACCAAACGGCAGGCAGACAGAGTTAGCAACTAGCTTGTAAACATAGTGGAGCATTTAACATCTTACAAGCCGGATATTTTCTTCGGGAGTTGTCGGAGAACAGAAGTAAACGGTTTAAAGGAGAGCAAAATTGTATACTTTGTTAGGTGGCCAGAAACATTTCAACTCTATCAGGTAACAATATGTCAAAGTTGTGTTTACAGATTGTTCCTGCTGCCCCAAAGTGGTCAAAAATATCAGTTATTGCAGGTTTAAATGTGAAGCTAGAGCCAGGAGATGGTTGGCTTAGTTTAACATAAAGACTCCAAACAGAGGGAAAGAACTAGTATGGCTCTGTCCGGAGGTAACAAAACCAGCCTACCAGCCCCTCTAAGCTCACTAACATCTGTATCTAGATTGTTAAATCTGTACGAAAACCAGAGTGTAGAAACAAAAAGTTGTGGTATTATATTCCTTGGGCATGGCATAGTGACTCATTGTCGTCTCCGCTGGTTGCCTGATAGGCAGATGTTTTATGTTTGGGTCGAGCCAGACTGTTTCCCTCTGGATCCATTTTTTAATGCTAAGCTAAGCTAACAATTTCGTATTTAGCATACAGATATGAGAGTGGAATTGACGTTCTCGTGTAACTCTTGGCAAAGACAGCAAATTAGCATATTTCCCAAAATGTCAAACAATTTCAATAAGTTTTAAATACCAATGTCTACTTTTTTAAATAATCAACACCATGTCCGATATACAGTACCTGAGACTGGCATCTGGTTCTCAGTGCGTCATGTCCTCACCACCTTCCCACCTTGCACCCCTTTAGGTGAAAACATGACAGTTCTAAACACGGCTGATTGGCTGTTGGGCTGCAGCAGCCCGCCCCCCGCCCCGAGCTCCAAGGACTATGGTACAGAGGTGCATGTGTGTGAATCCAAGGCCAGTGGTCGTACAGTATTACTTTAAATGCAAAAGGAATGGGTTTCTATAGTTAAGGCTGGTTTCGAGATCTGATGTTTCTTTTGTTCCAGAATTGCAGTGATTTTCTTTTGCTGTGCAGTGTTCCCTGCTCTTTGGATCCCATTGGATTTATCACAGTGTGTGTGGAGTTTTTACATAGTTGCAGGGTTCCCTCCAATTGTGACATTCATGAAAAGCTGGGGAATTTGATGAGTTTTACCAGGGAAGTAAGGCAATATCAGGGAACTTTGTTAAAGCAATTCGATCATTACCAAACATTTAAAATATCAAGGAGGAGTTAAACCTTTAGGTCATTGTGGTGTTTTGACTTGGTTAAAGTCATTTAAAAGCTGTGAAATCTTCTAATAATTATGGTGGGAACCCTGCAAACAGCATTTTCTCCCATACTCAAACTGCATGGTAGTTTTCTTTGTGTATGTGTGTGTGTGTGTGTGATAGTACTTGATTACTGGTCTCCCCTAACACCGATCTTCTCCGTCTTTCTCAAGTCAAAACAGAGCCTATGAACAACAGCGATACAGTCACTACGTCAGGCGACACAGCACTGGACACGTACGCAGGCTCAGGTAACACACACATCTGCCCAAGAGAAATGTACTCATGTACTATTTCCTCCTAAAGAGGAAAAAAACAAATTCACATGTCTGTACTCGCCAGCTCTATATCAGTCTTTCTTCCTCAGACGAACACACAAGCACCATCATCCATTTCGGCTCAGCGGTAGGCCTGCTGAAAGCTTTAATCCCATGAAGTATTGCCTGTCCTTGGATTGCGTCATCAAAGGCTGGCAGAGGGATGAGAGAGCGCGAGAGACATTTTTACACTTGTCCTTTTTTTTTTAGACTCACACACGACCTTGTGCTCGCTCGCGCTGCAAAACACATACACACCGAGACACAAAACCATGAAGCAACACACAGCGAGGGTTCAGAAGCAGCGGGGGGG